ACGCTCCTCCCCTTTCCAAAAAAAAAAAAAAAAAAAAACCAAAAAACTCTTCACTCCTCTTTGATAGCCAGGTTTCTTCCAAAGCAGGGTTTTAAAGAGGACTGGAAAATCTGGAATAGGTTAGTAGGCCCCGCCCCTTGCGTTCCTGCTTCGTCCCCCCCTTCCCAGCCTTTCTAATGGTCTCGCCCACTCCGCCCCTCGCGGGTCCACCGCGGCCCCGGCGCAGACTGAGGCGGAGGGCGGCGGGACGTTTCGTGCTCCCGGCTCGCCTCGCCCGAGCGGCGCTCTCCCTCTGGCTGGGACCCGGGACGAGGAGAGGGGGTGGGGAAGAGAAGGCAGGATGGGGCTGCCCTTCCGTTGCCCATGCTAAAGGTTCCTGTCTGGGACGCTGGACGTAGCCTAATGGACTGGGCATCTCCCTCCTCGCCGAGGGCTGAAAGGAGAGACTTTCTCCTCCTTCCTGCTTCCCGGGACAGCTGTGCTCTCCGAATCCCTCCTTTTTCCCCTCCCCACTTCCCCCAAGCCCGCTGAGGCACGTTTGCACAGGCATTTTTTTCTTGCTTTCTCTGGGAGGGCGGTTTGGTGAAAGGGTCAACAGAGCCGGGCGAGGAGAGGGGCCGCGAAAGATTTGCTTTCTCACTCTTGATTCTCTGGCCGCGGGGCTGTCTGCTGTTCCCGCTGGGCGACTGGCAACAGGAGGCCATGGATTTCCCCCATCGGATCGCCTAGAGTGCGGTGGTGTTTTCCTTTGGTTTTGTTTCATTTGCATGTTCGCACGTGTAATTTTATTTTCATTGCCTGTTTTCCTGTGAACTGATGGCGGAAAAGCGACCTCGGGAAGTAGTAAACATCTGCCCCTAAGAGGAGAGTCTGTGATCCACCACAACCTTCCCTCACCCCGATGTCCGCTCGCCCTGCCCTCTCCATTTGCCGGCCACACACAGCCCTGGTGGTTTAACCTTGGAGCTACAATCACCGGCGGTTCTGCGGGATGGTGGACAGTTTCGACTGTCCCGAGAGGGGCTCCAGTGGAGGCAGAGGACATACGTCCTCAATCCATTAATTTTACGTTGGTCCTGCCATCTCCACCAGATAGCCACAAATGTGCTTCAATAAGAAGAAAGTCGAATAAGGAGTCAGCCGCCGTTAAACTAATGCTTGTCTGCCGCCAAGATTACGCTGTCCTCCCCCTTCAATCGCTAAGGTCTCCCCAGCCTCCACCCACTGGCTAACAAGGTTTTACTCACCTCCAAGGCTACACACAATTCTACCCCCTGCCCATCGCTCTTTTTTTCTTAACTTCCGCCTCCCAGCCTGTCGTCCAGTGCTCGGTTTAAGTACCTCTTTTCCTCCACCTACTTTTTTCTCCCCTCTCTGCCTGTCCGCCTCTGTCGTCCCCTGTAAACCTGTCTCCTGCAGCACTCCTTTCCATCACCTATTCTCAGGATGCACTTACGAATAAACCTTGTCCTGTATCGCTCTGGGAGATGCCCTGATGATAATCATAATTGACGAAATGTAGCCATTGTGACATTCCTCAGCTGTGCTGACACCACCGTTTCCCTTGAGAAAATTTCTTTTCCTATTTTCTCATTCTCTAAACCTAATGTCACAGCTAAATTTAGACAGAGCCCACTGTGCAACGAATAGCTAATTATCTGTTTAGGTAGCACTTTAACACGTTGTTGAGACTCAGTTAAATGTTAAACAACCAAAATTTTAATATCGCTAGCCAGTTTCATTCCCCTAACCTTTCCCTGCTGGTTCCAATCTCCAGGAAAAAACAAAAGTAATTTAGCCAATATTTGAAAAGGTGCCAAAAGCTTAATATGGGGGCCATTCATGCAATTGCTACAGAGACCATGAGGGATTAACAGGTTTAGTGCTTCTCAAAAGGATGATATGGAGCTTTAAAGGATACATTTCCTCCATATTCTGAGAATTGGATTAGTTGCAAGCTATGATTATATTCTCTTACCTAAAGTGGAGACATGGAAGAGCAGTATTTGTACATGTTATATAAGCATTAAAAGAGCACCATGCTGGTGTTTTTGTGCATAAATGCATTATGTTTTAATAATAATTTGTGTAGATATAGCATCTTCAGCCAGAGATGTCAAAGTACACGCTTACTTCCCAGGGAAATTTGCAATTACCATTATCCCTACTTGACAGCTGGAGGAACAGAGGCACAGAGGTTAAGTGCAAATACTACAAGCCTGTGTGGTGGTTTCCCTGCCAGAACCAAGTTCTTACCTTCCAGATGACACCACTGACCTCTCAAGATTTCTTTCAAAGTTAGAAAACAAATTGACCGAGGTAACTCAAATGTCTACCTTCTAAGTGTCCAATCTCAAACTACTTTCTCCTCAAATGAATACATACCTACCTTAAGCTTTCATATGGGAAATTATTACTAGCTACAGAAAAAGATTTTACATTATGTGGTACAACTCATTTTTTTCAAGGACCAGAATTACTGTTGATTTAAAAAAAAAGAAGAAAAAAAAAACCTTTAACATGAGAGTTTTACCAGGTTTTACACCATTTTCAGTCACCTAACTTTACAGATAAGTTCGTCTTTATTGTTTGAGTGACAAACTGGTTGAAGGAATACTTAATCATAGCTAACTTATTAATACTTCTGGAACTATGGAATCCAAAGTAGGCATGCTTTTTCCAAGGCAAAAAATTATCTGAACAAAAAGCAACATGATTCTAATGCCAATAGTGATTTCATTGTTTGGGGTTAAGAGTACTGATGATGTCCATCCCACTTTTTGCCTCAAAGACTGTTGACCAACTACCGAGATTCATGAACTCTTAACTGAAAAACAGAGGTTGACATCTTAATAAAAAAGTAATTATGTACAGTGCCTGGCATTTTATATTTACTCAAATAATCCAAGTTAAAAGTTTGAGACTATTAGAATTTCATAGCTGATTCTGAAACAAAAAGTATTTTGTAGTAGAGGTGGACTATTATGTACATACTTCAGCTAGTTCTTTTTACCATCAGCAAATTTTTTATAACCCACTGCGTGAGGAAGTATAGCTTTTCCCTCATTGGAAGAGATGAGCAATGCTTTGTGGTATGTTTGAGTTGGTACTCTAGTTGACAATAAGTTGATGTTACCCAGCTAGAATCACAGTCTTCTAAAGCAGAACTATGTAAATAGTTTAAAACAAACTGCAAACCCACAAAAAAGTCCACCCACTTTTATCAAATGCAACTATTTCTGACTGCAAAGATCTTCTCTCATATATTCATACTGTGTTTTTCCCTCATATTTCCCTTGGGCCCTTGCTCAAATTCAACTTTGTCATTGAGCTCTTCTATGGCACCCCCAGATGAAAGAGCTGCCCCTAGCCCCAATCCCTATTCCCCTGACACACAGATTGCTTTATTATCTCTACTGCACTCACTATATCTTTATTTATTGTCTGTTTTCCCTTCACTAGAATGAAAGTTTCACAAGGCTGGACAGGGATCTATTTATTTTTTCACTGTTGAAACCCAACCACCTAAAACAGTATCTACCATATAGCTCCCAGTTTGGATGATTAAATGATAACTACAGTGACATAGCATACTTGAGTGCACCTCTAATGGCAGACAAACCCAAGAGAATAATATTAATTTTTTAAGATCTTGATTATATGATCTTGTTGAGTTTTTGAAGCTGGAAGATGGTTACTCTAACTGATCATTGCTTAACATTCAATTTAATTGCTTTTAGTGTTACTTATTAAGCTGTCGTCTCTCTACTCCATATTCACACTTACTACTGGGGCTGGGGCTCTGCAAACATGTCTCCTTTGCCAGCTGGCTTCTTGGTAGGTTCTATCAATAGGAGCCCTTGGAGAGAGGATGGAAAGTAGAAGTGGGGGAGAAGACACTTGTTCCTTTCTCCTTGCTTGCTGCTTCTATCAGCATCATTTCAGCAGTAAAAGCCCTTCACCCCATCATCAGCAGTTGGTTCCAACCTCCCACTTTATACCCCAAGAACTAGACCCATCACAACACCTCAGAGTGACCAGCACCAGCTAGGCTGTGCCCGCTTCTCAGAGTTGCAGCCCCTAGTCAGCAGGAACTTTCCTCTGAGCTTTTCAGTTCTAAAAATCCAAACTTTTCCCTTTGTTTCCCCAGCTTTAAGACGGTAATAGCTTCCCACATTACATATCTCTGAATCACTTCAGAGTTCTCCTTTTTTGTGTGGAGCCCCCTCCTACCCCTGTGTAACAATACCCTATTATTAAGTTCCCTAGGTAACATGGTATGATTTCTGTTTCCTTGATTGGACCTTGATTGATGCTCTATTTTCAGTGACTAGTTTCCCAAAACCTTCCTTGTAACAGTTATTTTTCTTTAAGTCAAACTGTTTAAAATCACAGAGTCAACATCAATCTCAATATTAGTAAAAGCAATACAGCAAATGAGCAAAATTTGTTCTATTTCATTGACAGCAATCCAGGTTAAGCAGAGATGGGTTTGAAATAAGAAAATTTGGAGGTAATTATGTTGGTGTCTTAGTCATATATATATAGTTTTTTTTTTTGGTTGATGTTCCTAATCTAGATAATGGAAAAACAAATACAATTTTCTAATGTTAGGTAATCTAGGAGATTTCTTTATTTCACTGACCTTAATTACCCTTGAAAATCATTATGAAACAACAAGGTCCCTGTGTAAAGCACGGGGAACTATATTCGATAACTTGTAATAACCTATAATGAAAAATAATATGAGAAAGAATATATATGTATAACTGAATCACTGTGTTGTACATCAGAAACTAATAC